TCCCCCCAGGAACACACATCCCGTCATATCATCTTGATAAAATAACAGTTATCATAACTCCGATATATGGGTAGATTTACAGTCCCTACTGGCCACTAAGAAGAGAATGAGATGGCACTGAGTCATAATGTGACTCCTCTGAGGACAGTGATTCCTCTAATGCTCACATTTTATTATTCCCTTAATAGTAAGAGCAGGTTACTAGTTTCTGGGATTGGCACAGCAACACTGCAAATAGTAAAACTGGCAGTCTGCGGAAGTTTGTGTGTGTTTGTTACCTGTGAGGACCTGTGGGGTGGCTGAGTGGGGGATAGTAGCAGCGTCCTGGGGAATTGAACTCATGTCTGGCTCCGGGGTGCTGCTGGGAGGAGAGATGGCTAGGGGTGTCATCAAGCGAGACTTCAGCTAAAAACACACACACACACACACACATTATATTAATTATTATTGTTATTAATAATAACATTTTATATGATAATATTTAGATATTTATAAAACATAAATGTAACATATATATTATGAGATTTTTATATTATAATAACATCCCAATGTATATTTAATATCATATTATTGTTATTATTATTACATTTATATACATCTATACGTCTTTAAAGGCAGTAAAATAAAAAATTTTTAAACACATGTATTGTCCTAATCATATATATAATAAAACATCTAATGCAACACACAAAAGACTTTTATGAGTTAAAGAACACAAGGCTCAGATATCTAGATATTAAGAATGTTTTCTTTTTAAAAATGACATGCTATGTTAAACTGAGCAGGAACAATCCAGACGGACTTCCCAATTTTTCTCCATTTAGTGATTCACACTCCAATACAATAAAATCACAAATTAAAATGCAGCCAAATACCACCGTTTCTGCTATACAGTCAAACCAAAAATTATTCCGACACCAGATATAATTTTTTCTATTTTTTTTTTACTAGTGGGTGCAGGACACTATAGTTAATTTATGTAAGTGAGCATAGCAAAATATATTAAACTGTGACATATTATACACAAAAATTCTTCATGCAGTGGACTACCAGTAAAATTGATAAAATATTTGGGACCAAAAATTGTTTTGACCGGACCATGTTTTGCTTAAGTGTTTTTTCTTTAATTGCTAATGTGATTACCTGCAAACTCCGTCCCACAGGCTTTACAGAGAACGCAGTGCATAGAACCATTTTCATAGCGGAGCCACTAGAAGTCTTTCAACCACTCTCTCCGAAAACTGTACGCCTTCTATTCGGCTGGTGGATCAACATTCACCACATGATCGCTATCACCAGCACCATTTATTTGTAACTTTAGGTGGTTCACAAAATAAATCTATCCGTGTTTCTTTTTTTATTTTCTCTCTTCTTCAGCCCTTTACATTCCCCGCGGTAGTTAGCTCCCTGTCACCTGACAGCGGAAAGCAGTGACTGGGTGATTGACAGCTAATATTAACCAATCTAAAATCTGCATTAAAGTTAAGAATGTAAAGATGAAGTTTAATTGGTTATGTAGCCTAACGTTTCATAGAACGGCAGACAGGTGACTGTATCAGCACTTAGAAGGCACATACTCTGAACGTTTTTAGAGAAATTAAAAGGTCGCACGACAACAATTATATGCACTCGCACAAATGCTCCCAAATATATTTTGAGGTCGCACAGATTAAATTTCGGGAGCAATATGCGACCAAAATGGTCGCAATTTCGAGCCTTGTAACTGTAGCAATAAGTAACTTTAAAAGCACAGTAAATGAATAGCACAAATAAATAACGTCATCACAATAATCCAAAATTAATTAATGAGCTATAAAGACAATGCCTATGTAATTGTGCAACACACATACACAGTGCATGTCTGAGATTTTACTTTTAAATCCATTGACTCAAATATTTGTCAAGGAATCTTCAAATATTTGAGACCACTTTTACAGATCATTTCCAGAGGTCAGGAAAGGAGAACTGCTTTCATATACAAGAAGATATCACGTCATTATCATGGGACCCAAGAGACAAGCAATAAAAGAAAGGGTGGGAGGCAAAGGAGAAAAGACATGAAAATAAAATCTCGGCTCTGGTGACAGCTTAGGTTTCTTGTATTATGAACAGTGTTTTATCCTGTGTATTTAAACAGTTGTTTACCTGAAGAAGGAATAATTCATCAAAACTAAACCTGATTTAAAAGTATAATTAAAATACTAAATTCACACTTAGAAATACAAAGCATAATACAAATAAATCTTGCTGCTCTTCTTAAGGTAATGTCTTTAAACTATATCACATGCTGTAACTCATATCCAAAAATCATCTGTGGTTTTGTGAGCCAACCGCAAGCAATACATTTTTGATTACCCTAAATAAAACCAACCCCCCCTCAATAGGAACCATTTCCATGTATTCATTTATCTCAAGTGGCTTACAAACGAGGAAAAATACAAGCATGAGCAAGTCATCTTAACAAAAAACAAGAGGTTTTGTATGCATTACCACAGAAACAAAAATAGAGCCAGAAAAAGAGAGAAAACAGCCTGTGTAGGAATCCACCAATCACTTGCTCCCCTCCCAAATCCTCCCACACAATCTGTCCCCATTGACTTCCCTCGCTCGTCTGCAGCATGCGGATGCTTTAATCTGACAGATTGCCATGCTGAGGGTTTTCCTCCATCGTCTGTCATCTAGAAGCGCCATGACCAGGAGTCAGACACACACACACACACACACACACACACACCCCGTGCCGCCTATGGGCTAAAATAATCGCAAAAGTAGCCTGTGCGTGTGTTTAAGAATGTGAAACAGGATAAAGCCAATGAACATTGAGTGTGGGAGGACTGATATGACACACAGAGCTTTAAAATAGATAACTGATAGCAAGATTACTGGCATGCCAGACATGTAGACTTACAGACACTGAAAATGTTGCACTCAGGAAAGGCAATATCATTTAACAAGCACAAGCAAACATGTTTTCAAGCTCAAAAGCTATTAACAATGGTCATCAAGGTCATGACGTCCACCAGCAGCCGCAACTGAGTGAAGTCCCTTGGCGACCCCCACAACAGTCCCACAGTTTACACACATACTGGAACACAGGTTTGTGAGCATTGAGATGTTTTGTCAAATTTCTGTCTTCAAAGAATTGCTGATGTCAAACATATGAAAGCATCAGCATGAATCTGGACAAAATGATCATGGTTTTTGAAATATACTAAAGGGACTAAAAGAGAGCATGACTCTTCCACTGTACAAAGAATTAAAGTCTAGAAACCTGGTGGGCAGACAAAAGCCTCTTGTTCGGCAACCGCTCCCTACAGCAAAGGGATTAAGCTTTGAGAACTCAGGATTGAGTTCAGCCGTACCATCACATCTTCTCATGTTTAAAGTAGACCTAATGGAGAACCAGACAGGTGCACTGAGATGCAGCCTCCACTCATTTTGAAAGGCAGAATTTAAATCACACAAGCTGTAGTTAGGATGTGAATTTATTCTAAGCTTTTATTATTTAAATAATATTTTTTATTCCACTATATAGACAATGCAGCAGAACAGAATTGATCTCTCCACTGTAATAAAGAGATAAATTGGATGATAATGCCTCCAAGGCAAGAGCAGTCAGGTCCCTCAATAATGTCCCTTGAGACTCTCACACCTATTAACTTTTAAAATAAGAGATGTAACTACTCTTTTCTCTCTGTTCCCTCTCCTTCTAGTGATGGATGTTATTGCCAATTGGATGGGCAGCCCGTGTAGACCACTGGGTCCAGACCTCAAAGATGGAGTGTGTCTGTGCCATGAAATCATTACTGGCTACATTCACACAGACTGAGTTTGGACTGACAGATCAATGGATTGAAGTCTCATCACAACTGGCACAACAATATTTGAATGTCTAATATTTAGGTGCATGGATCAGCAGCTTAAGTGGACTATATCATTAATTAAATATGCATTACCATTCACAATTTTCAGGTCACAATTTTTTCATTAAAGCTGCAGTCCGAAACTTTTGGCACTCTAGCGGTAAATAAACAGAACTGCGTGAGTCTTGCGGAAGAACATTGTAGCCGGAGCTACTTCTCTCTGTTTATGTCTGTGACGAATCACGCAGGTACTGGGCTACTCCGCAGTGGTACCTACCCAAACCAGTCTAAAATAGTCCGAATATAAACACTTATTATAGGTGTACCGTAGTGATTCAGGACAAGCCAAAAACACGGTTTGGAAAATGGATTCATGGTGTACTCGCTTATTATATAAATTGTGTAAATTTTGAACACAAAAAAGTGACAGACTGCAGCTTTAAATTAATCAAAAATGACAGAAGCTGAATTGTTACAAAAGATTTCTAATCTTTCTAAGAACTTTTCAAAGAATCCTGAAAAAATGTTTTTCACAAAAATATTAAGCTGAACAACTGTTGTTCAACACTGATAATAATAAGAAATGTTTCTTGAGCATCAAATGAGCATACTAGAATGATTTCTGAAGGGTCATGTGGCACTGTAAACTTGAGAAATAGCTGAAAAGTTTGCTTTGCCTCAAGGAATAAATTACATTTTAAATTAGAAATCAGTTATTAAATTGGAATAACATTTCACAATATTACTGTTTTTATAGGCAATACATCCTCATAGATACTGTTGTCCTAAATAACAAATAAGGAAAAATATCTAGGCTGAATGTTATTCAGACGTTGGTCTTCTCTAGGAGGTGGTCTTCTCCCCCCAGGAACACACATCCCGTCATATCATCTTGATAAAATAACAGTTATCATAACTCCGATATATGGGTAGATTTACAGTCCCTACTGGCCACTAAGAAGAGAATGAGATGGCACTGAGTCATAATGTGACTCCTCTGAGGACAGTGATTCCTCTAATGCTCACATTTTATTATTCCCTTAATAGTAAGAGCAGGTTACTAGTTTCTGGGATTGGCACAGCAACACTGCAAATAGTAAAACTGGCAGTCTGCGGAAGTTTGTGTGTGTTTGTTACCTGTGAGGACCTGTGGGGTGGCTGAGTGGGGGATAGTAGCAGCGTCCTGGGGAATTGAACTCATGTCTGGCTCCGGGGTGCTGCTGGGAGGAGAGATGGCTAGGGGTGTCATCAAGCGAGACTTCAGCTAAAAACACACACACACACACACACATTATATTAATTATTATTGTTATTAATAATAACATTTTATATGATAATATTTAGATATTTATAAAACATAAATGTAACATATATATTATGAGATTTTTATATTATAATAACATCCCAATGTATATTTAATATCATATTATTGTTATTATTATTACATTTATATACATCTATACGTCTTTAAAGGCAGTAAAATAAAAAAATTTTAAACACATGTATTGTCCTAATCATATATATAATAAAACATCTAATGCAACACACAAAAGACTTTTATGAGTTAAAGAACACAAGGCTCAGATATCTAGATATTAAGAATGTTTTCTTTTTAAAAATGACATGCTATGTTAAACTGAGCAGGAACAATCCAGACGGACTTCCCAATTTTTCTCCATTTAGTGATTCACACTCCAATACAATAAAATCACAAATTAAAATGCAGCCAAATACCACCGTTTCTGCTATACAGTCAAACCAAAAATTATTCCGACACCAGATATAATTTTTTCTATTTTTTTTTTACTAGTGGGTGCAGGACACTATAGTTAATTTATGTAAGTGAGCATAGCAAAATATATTAAACTGTGACATATTATACACAAAAATTCTTCATGCAGTGGACTACCAGTAAAATTGATAAAATATTTGGGACCAAAAATTGTTTTGACCGGACCATGTTTTGCTTAAGTGTTTTTTCTTTAATTGCTAATGTGACCTTTTTACACCACAGACTGAACAAAATTTAGCATTGCTTGGTAATTGGTTGACCTAAATTGGTATTATCTAATTGTGTACTTAAATTTAACAGCTGACAGCTATTCAACCTAATTCATTACATACCTTTGTATCAAAGTTATCTGACATTATCAAGATGAATTTGTTCTGACACAGTTTAACTCTGAGTTCTTGTCATATTTTATTACCATTTTCTAAACAATAGCAAATAAACGGTAATAATGTGAGAAATGTTGAAGGTGTCTGAATAAATTTTGGTTTGACTGTACATCAAGTAGTAAATTTGCTTGGTTTATTTAAAAGTTTTTGAACTCGGGACGACTCACTTCAAAAGCAAGATACGTGAGACTGGACCATATCTTGCCTAGGGCACCAAATTTTGGGGTTCCCCTTGTCCAAAAGCCCTATTTAACCCTTTTTACAGAGAATGTGTTAACAATTTCCTGATAGACAGGAAATAACCCTATTAAGTAATCATAAAATGATGTAAAATATGTGTTTTGGAAGATAAACTGTCCCTAACACTGCTATAGAAAGCAATAACCATCAGGTTTAGGTTAAGCAAGAATGTATTTGCACTGAGTCTACTGCAAATCTGCTAACATGCACACACATTGTGTTAGCGTTTTGCGCTTTAAATCAGCAGCAGCGACATTATGAGGCTTGTGCTCAGGCACACGGCTAAAAATAACTCAGCAGCAGCAGACTGCAGATACATCAGTCAAAGAACAACCACCCTATCACCTCCTTCTCTTGTACAGTCAACATCAGATGGGCCTACCTACATGTTCCTCTAGCTAAAGCATCATAAGTGTTACACACGCACCATTATGCACTCAAATGCACCACTTGATGACATTTATGCATTTGGTAGACACGTTAGAACAGTGAAAAGGCCTTATCTTTGTGGCCTACGCATGCATGTGTGTATTTAAACAGACACACAAACACTGATATTTACTGACCTTAAAGCCAGGCTTCCTCCCTCTCTTCTTAGGCACTTTAATGGGTGGGAGGGATTCTGGGTAACGACTCTGATATTCTGGGTGCCTCTTTAGGGGTGGGCGACCCCTCTTGCGACCTGGAACTTTTCCACTTGGGGGCGGGAGGAAGGAGGGGCTAATGGCCCCAGGTGATTGCATCTCTCCACCCCCTGACTGAACTGATGCAGCAGCAGGTATACTCATCAGACCTGAGAGAGAAAAACACAATGACAGAATGTTAAACTGTATTTACATAGATATTTAATCATTTTAATACATTAGGTAGCATGTTTTTCTTGATTTATAGTAAAATTGTCATTCTGCATCATGTGTTGGAGATTTTACTTCACAAATACATTGAATTGTATAAGGAGTCAGCAGCAGGAATACTCATCAGACCTGAGAGAGAAAAACACAATGACAGAATGTTAAACTGTATTTACATAGATATTTAATCATTTTAATACATTAGGTAGCATGTTTTTCTTGATTTATAGTAAAATTGTCATTCTGCATCATGTGTTGGAGATTTTACTTCACAAATACATTGAATTGTATAAGGAGTACACGTGTCTACAACTTTTTAATATCCAACCATAAATTCATCATAAAACTCTTCAACACACCACTAACTAAAACACGCATACAGAGAAATATATGTAGTCAAGTATGAAATTTTGGGTTCCCACACCTTTAGACCAATGAATTTCCATGATTTTTCATTCGTCAGTCATTCGTGATTACTGGATAATTTTAGTAATCTGAAAGAAAAAAATATATAAAAATAAACAATATAGCAATTTTAGCTGATGAAAATGTATAACTGAGCATAACTATAGAAATTATTAAATTAGAATGGTGTATTAAAAAAGATTTTACATATGTGACCCTGGACCACAAAACCAGTCATAAGGGTCATTAAAAAAAAAGAGAGAGAGAGAGAGATTTATACATCATAAAAAAGCTTTCCATTGATGTATGGTTTGTTAGGATAGGACAATATTTGGCCGAGATACAACTATTTGAAAATCTGGAATCTAAGGGTGCAAAAAAATAAAAATATTGAGAAAATCGCCTTTAAAGTTGTCCAAATTAAGTCCTTTGCAATGCATATCACTAATCAAAAATTAAGTTTTGATATATTTACAAAATATCTTCATGGAACATGATCTTTACTTAATATCCTAATGATTTTTGGCATAAAAGAAAAATCGATAATTTTGACCCATACAATGTATTGTTGGCTATTGCTACAAATATACCCCAGCGACTTAAGACCGGTTTTGTGGTCCAGGGTCATATATATACACTGTGTTCCAAATTATTATGCAAGTGACATATCAATAGGATTTCGGTACAATAAAGAGTCAGATTTTTGTTTGTTTTGATTTTCACATCATTTCAGGTAACTGGTATCAATCTCAGACAGGTTTGTTCAATAGTTTGCCAGGTCTTCTTAGGTAAATGGAAACCCTACTTAAAGAGGTTGTTCCACATTATTAAGCAAGTCACAGTTCTCATGCAATATGGTGAGGAAGAAAGATCTTTCTGAAGATAACCGTACCGAGCCGTACCGTGCCGTACCATGCAGTGGAAAAGCGCCATAAGACTATCCCACTCTCTGTCAATTTCGTTGAATAACAGTGCTTATCGCTGGGTGACAAGCTCTTGTAATATGCGGAGAACATTTTGAAAATGACATCTAATCAATATAATTTATAATCTTTTTAAACCTAACTATGTTGTACCGTATCCTTGAAATTCTCTAGCTGTAAAGGCTATCTCTCCCGGGTTTTCTGCAACCATGATGCGCGCGCATCCTGAATGTTTACAAACCGGTAATTGGTCTATAAGGACCCTTGCTGTCTAAGGGAGGGTCAGAGAGCTCTCAGAATGCATCAATAATATCTTAATTTGTGTTCCGAAGATGAACGGAAATATACGGGTTTGGAACGACATGAGGGTGAGTAATTAATGACATAATTTTCACTTTTTGGGTGAACTAACCCTTAAATTTACAGAAAACAAACATCAAACCAACCAAAGCCAAAACAGTTTGAATTAAAATAACAGTCAATGCTTTAACATATTCATTCTGAGATTTCAACTCAAACACATGACCACAGCTCAAACACTGCAACCGGTGCAACCTGCAAACTAGCAGCTGTTCCTGGAAACATCACAGTGAAACAAACAAGATAAGAGTACTTAGTACTACAACAGCAATGCAGTCCAATTAAAACATAGAAACAATGCACAAAAAATATAACATACAGACCATCCATAATTACATACTACAATCATATTTATTGTGTAAATACCAGAAAAACATACTTCACAAACCCTACACATATGAAACTGGGCTGGTATGAATTATTTGAAGAACAAAAGCTTGATGGTGAAGCTGTGAGGTGGCCTACACTGTGCAGACTGTGGAAGAAACAGACACTGAGCCACATAAAAGCATCTTCACTATCCTCAGCTCTTCCAACTCTCTCTCTCTCTCTCTCTCTCTCTCTCTC